CTGCATTTCCTTCTTCTTTGTTCTGTTTCAATTAAGTTGTTACGATGCAAATAAACCCACTCTCTATATATCAATCTCTCTCTCTGTACCCATCCCCTCAGGCCCTGAAAAGAAAGAGCAAAAATGCTCAGCCTTATCAACTCCATATAACAGAAATACTGAAATTAACAATGCACAAGAATATTTACTCAGACTAGACACATTACCTCTAAACAAGTCGTGATAAAGAATCCACAAATACCGAGAAGCATTGCCTTCCAACGAAAGGGTACCTGCTCGATGACAAACGGCATGCTTAAGAAAATATTTATGTGCATAAATAAATCCAATCATGGAGTGATAAATACCTATAATTGTAATTCTAATTGAACCTACAAGAACAGAAATCATGCTAGAGCTGAATTGTAATTTCACTCTCCCACTAAGAAAGAAAGCCTTTTATGTTATAAACCCAACCAACTATTGAGTTAAATTTCATTTTCTTTTCTTTCTTGTCGTATTTTCTAGCTGTAGGGCATGGCCTTCCTACCAAGAAATGTAGTCCGTGAACCCATCTAACAGAGTATTTTGAACATATCCTTAATAGAATTGGAATAGAATCCAGTGGTGAGACTCAAGCAGACAACCAATGCTGATTAAAACCTAAAACAAAAGTAAAAAGTGAATGCAGATAAACTCCTCAACAGCATATATTACTGAAACTTGTAGACGAAGACCAACATCTGTGTGAAAGCAGAAGTTAAAACAACTTCAGATCAACTCATCGGTAATATTTCACAAATAAAAGTAAATTTAGTTTCTATTGAAACAATAGCAATATTATCAAAAATTAAGTAGCCATAAACCTCTCTAGGTAGTCGCAGAGTGTGCTTAATTGATCAGAAGCGGCAGTGAGCAGCGATAAACTATGCTAATATAATTAAGATTGTATCAGTTTAAGACAAGTCTGGATGCAGAAGATTATATTGGAGATAAGAGGCTTTTCTAGCTTCATAATGTGTAACGACTATAACATAAGTATGTTGTTTATAAATGAAGGTAGAGCATGGGCACATTAGAAGAGAAGTGGAAGTGGGAGTTTGAAAAGCTTACATTTCTTCACTGTGAAAGTTGGAGCTATTAGGAATTCATTGTACGCATAGAGCCAATCCGTCTGCTGTCTGGTCATCAAAACATTGATAAAAAAATAAAAAGGAGAAATTATTCAGAATGAATAAACTCTAGTTAAACCGAAAGGTGAAGAATGAAAAGGAAATTTGATTTTAGGAAAGAAGAAATTAGTTTTGATATCAGGAATGTGAGAAATCTTGGGCCATTCTGAGCCGCTGTCCATGGTGCATCTTTGCTGCAGAAGGGGACATCCCCAAACTGTTAGGGTTTGTAATTCGGTGAGGCGTTGCATAGCTCTGACACTAGGTAGATACATGAGCTTCTTGCAAAGGTAAATCCCCAGTGTCGTAAGGGATGTAAGGTTACCCAACCACTCTGGAAAAGCCTCCATTCCATCGAAATCGCGTAAACTGGTGGAAATCAGGGAAGGCAAATATTTTAATTTCCCACAATTAACAATCACCAACTCAGAGAGAGATGTGAAGTTGTCTAAACTTTGAAGACTCTCTAAATTAGGGGCATCTCTTATTTTCAACTCCACAAGGAAGAGGTTTAAAGTTGGAATAGATTGTAGAACCCAACATTTAATTATGCTCAACTTCACAATAGAGATGGGCTCACTACTCACTAAACTTTCTAATCTCTCACAATATTCAATGCTCAATTTACGGAGGGATGTGAAGATGTTTAAAGCTGGAATAGATTGTAAACCACTACAAACTCTTATACGTAGCAACTCCACAACAGAGACAGACCCACTACTCACCAGACTTTCTAATCTCCGACAATATTCAATGCTCAATTCACGGAGGGATGTGAAGAGGTTTAAAGCTGGAATAGATTGTAGACCACTACATTTAATTATATTCAAATCCACAACAGAGACGGACCCACTACTCACCAAACTTTCTAATCTCTCACAATTTTCAATGCTCAATTTATGGAGGGATGTGAAGAGGTTTAAAACTGGAATAGATTGTAGACCATTACAATCTCTTATACGCAGCAACTCCACAACAGAGACGAGTCCATTATTCACCAAACTTTCTAATCTCTTACAATTTCCAATGCTCAATTCACGGAGGGATGTGAAGTTGTGCAAATCTGAAATAGATTGTAGACTAGGGCACTTGTTTACAACCAAGTTTCCGATAGATGCACAACAACCAAAGACATCGGGGGCAATACAAGTTAACTTCTCACAATCCATTATATCCATACCTTCTATCTTCAACAACATCCCTTCTGGCACACATGTAAGCTCCTCATTACCTTCTATCATCAAATTCTTCATAGATGGAAAATGACTGGGAACCTTTCTCAATTTGGGACAATTCTCAATATCCAACTTCTCCAGGCAAGGAAACACCATGACTTGTTTTGGTGCTTCCATCCATTCAATTAGCTCCTTGCAATTACGAATGCATAATTCTTTTAGTGATGGAAATACGTCATTTCCATAAATCTCTTCTCCAACACATTTTAGATTATCCAGTGACAAAATCGGCTACATTTTTCTTTTGAGTAACACTATTGAAATTTTATACAAAATCCAATCATGAAAAAGGTTTTTAACCCTTAATTTTATATTTGTTAGGTAAATTAAAATTAATTTCTAGAAGCAAGGTTTTTAGCGAATCACCACACCAATAAGCAATATTTTCGTGAATTTGAGGTTTGGCAATTTACATATATCAATATTGAGGTTAATTAAGGTTTGGAGACATCCCTGGCAGGGCCGCGGTGATCATTTCCATGGTGATCAATTAAGGCCTTTCCCGTGGGCCACTAGTGCAAATGTCTTGTGGAACATCTTTGTTGATTTCTATTTAATAAAGTGATTGTGAAGAAAGAGATTGTGGAGAATGGGCATGACATGATGCATGAAACACAAAGAAAAAATTGACAATCTTCTTTCTCTTCGGACCTTGTTATTCCTTCTCATGAAAATTCATCAATGCAATTCAAAATAACCCATTCATGATATGATCCCTAAATTCCCAGAAATAATCCAATAATCTATAAAAATATAAATAAATAAAAATGCCTGATGTAAGCAATGCTTGTATAAAAAATATATATATGTATGTATAATATATAGTACGTGTACCTGTGCCATCAATGGTAAACCTTCACACTTTTTAGCAATCTCCCGTCCAATTCTCTCTAAACTACCATCTGAGCAAGCTGCATGTTTCAATATGGACCAACATTCATCTGTTGATAGAAGGTCCAATTTAGGCCGCGGAAGTGTTTCTGTGAGTGGTGCAACTATGCCACTGCGGGTAGTGACAATAATTTTGCTTCCTGGAGCAGAATTCAACTTTGACAAACAGCTCATCAACCTTTCCCATTTCTCAGACTCTTCATTCCAAACATCATCAAGTACCAGCAAGTATATTTTCTCTCTCAACTCTTCTTCAATGTATTTAAGCATTGCATCTTGATTTTCTCTTACAGTGGCTTTTGATGGGTTAAGAGATTCTAACATGCAGATCAAAATCACATTGATGTTAAAAGGATCAGACACACACACCCATATCCTTTTTTCAAAATACCCTGTTACTGAATTATCATTGTACACTGACTTGGCCAAAGTTGTCTTTCCCAGTCCTGGCATTCCCGCGATTGCCATAACCGACAGATTTTCTTGATTTATGTCGGAGCTGGTCAATGTTGTAACTATATCTGACACAGCGTTCTTCCTTCCAATGATGATTTCATCTTTACCAATGAA